CAAAAGCTAAATTCGGAAGGCCTGTTCGTTGTGCCATGCAGAATTTATGTCTTAGATTATGAGATACATGCTGTTGCGAGGCGGCCAGTGAACTACATTGTAAACTATGTATGTCAGTCTAGAGTCTCGTGCAATAATGTCACAGTGACAACGTTAATGAAGGATGGCCGTGGGAGTGTATCCTTGCTCAAGTCGCAATAACCCGAGCTAAAAATAAACCAAGCTCGTCACCACTGCACAGGCCAGCTCAGATGTGAGAACAAAAATATTGCAGGTTATGCAGCCAATAGCGTGTCCATATCGCGAGCAGGATTCAGAGATTTTGAATATCGCGGGGGCCAAAGCAGGAGCAAATTGGGTGAATTCGGTTGAAATGACCCAAACTCTTAACCAGTTTGACGAAAGCTGATACAGTGGCATGGCATGTGTCGGTCGCCGACGGGGATATCATGAGATGAAATGTTAGATGAGTTGCTTATTCTGAAACGTTACAAGAAGATGATCAGCCTCTGAGAGACAATTAACTATTCACTCTTCGAAAAAATTATATAAAGAATTTCGCTGAAGATTGATCAAGCACCGGTTCTGGACCTCGACCTACAGAAATCAGTACAAGTACATGCACGTACGTCTCTGTGCAAATCGGACCGTCATCATCGACTCATTGTTTGCCTCTTTCTTTCACCCTGGTATTGAGAATGCTACATGTATACATGTACTACATTTCTGATGATGTTCGGCCTGTGGATTGTCATGATCTTCCTCTGGCAACTATTCAACTATTGACTGACGAAGGACTGTTATTTGTTCACTTTACAATCTGCTGTGTTCGTTTACGGGTTTAATCACAGCGTCACTCAATGCCTATATCCTATATCCCACGAGAGAGAGAGAGAGAGAGAGAGAGAGAGAGAGAGAGAGAGAGAGAGAGAGAGAGAGAGAGAGAGAGAGAGAGAGTAACAAACTTCTGATGTTCAGAATAAAATTGTGGCGGAATTATCCAACAATTTGTCAACGTTCCCCAGTTCTGTTACCGCTCTGAATTCTCCACAGCGCCAGTTTTCTCCTCTAGATTAAACTATCGTGGCT